AAGCCAGGCAAATTTGGTAATCTCGGAAATACTGTATCGTCCCTTCTCACCTCTGCTCTGCTGCGTCTGACGGAAATTACAGCTGGCCCAGTCGGCCGCAGGCGGCGTCGGTTTTGGTGCTGGTTAGTTTTCCGCCTCTTTGCGGCTTGGTTCATACTGACGTACATACTCCGACAGGCTCCGCGGTTGGGAGTGGTATCGTCAATGCTATATTCTGATTTATAAGCTATTTAAATGGTTTGGATCAAGATTTGTACCTAGACGTAGTCTACTGGGGCGAGCCATTTTGCTATGTTCAAGATTCGTTTTGAGTGGATTTTTATTGACAGCTATTGCCAGTGGTGGCCCGGCTTGACAAACCGAATCGAGCAGCGTCTGCAGCACGACGCGTCCACAGTGGATGTGACCGATCGCGCCAAGATGATTGTGACACTTGGGCTCGCCACGGCCACCAGTGAATTTCCCATGCCGGCGCAACGTATAAGCAAGTATAAATCTCTTGCCGTTAACCCAACGCGATGTCTAGTCGATACCGAATCGGTGTGGATGTTGGAGGTACTTATATCGCCCAAGTTCTCCGTTACATGGTATTGACTGGTTTGCATAGGGACGAATACCGATGGAGTTATAATCGACATAACGAAAACCTCCGATCCACTGACAAGAGGAGTTGTTGCAAGCTTTAAACATGAGACCACTTCAAATGTAACGGACGGGATTGAAGCAGCTGTCAGGAAGGTCATGGCGGACGCCGGTGTAGATCCCCAGGATGGAAAGATCCTGAGCTTGACCATTGGAACTACTGTGAGTATACACAGTCAACTGCGCGCAGTCGTTTGCTCAAGTACTTCTAGCATTTTGTCAACGCGGTCGTTCAAGCCGACGCGAGGAGATTATCAAAGGTCGCGGTCATTCGACTTGCTGCTCCCTACACATTGGAATACCCCACATTTGTCGACTTTCCCCTGCATCTCAAAGCAATTATGAATGGGCACACCGCAGTAATCAAAGGGGGATTGCAGATGTATGTCTATTGTCCTCTGGGGTCTTAGATTATGTCCTCATGTTTTCTAGCGATGGGCGTCCAATTAATGAAATCGACGAAGCCGAAGTTATCGAACAAGCCAACCAGATTAAATCCAAGGGTCTAACGGACATTGTTCTTATCGGTGTCTGTTAGTTCTCCGATTGCCGCTGCAAATGTATCCTCTCTAAGCTTCCCCAGTTTCTCCGTTAGATGTCAGTGGACAGAATGAGTATTTGGTCCGCGATATACTCCTTCGTCACCTTGGGCCAGATGTCAACATAGTGTGTTCTCGCGATGGTATGCCACATGTGATTTGAAGACAAGATTCAACTGACTTCTCCATCGTAGTTGCACAAGTAGGCTTCATTGAGCGCGAAAACGCGTCCATCCTTAACGCGTCCATCGGGACTTTCGCTCAACGTACCATCCGTGGATTCGAGAGTGCAATGAAGCGACTCGGACTCGTCTGTCCACTATATCTCACCCAGGTCAGTGTGGGATCTTCTCTACTCGGCGCCGGCTCTTATTCTACTATAATCCCAGAACGACGGAACCCTCACAAGCGCGGCAGATGCTGCCAAACTTCCTATTCGGACATTTTCTTCTGGTGCTACCAATTCAATGCGTGGTTAGTCACTAGCATCCAAGTCGAGGCGTCTTCTAACACTACAAATGAAGGTGCTTCATTCTTGGCTGGAATTGACCTTAAGAAGAAAGAAGGGACGGCGAAGAGTATGATAGTGGTGGACGTTGGGGGAACTACGACGGACGTTGGTGTACTTCTTCCCAGTGGTTTCCCAAGGCAGGCGGCTGCGTTCATCGAAGGTACGGCTGGTCGAGACTTGAATACGCTTTGGCTAACAATCGGAGCAGTTGCCGGCGTTAGAACAAAGCAAGTGATAACTCTAAAAAGAGTGTATGATCTCGATTAACTGTATGCTCAGCTTCTCTATGCCCGACGTCAATTCCATTGGATTGGGCGGAGGATCTAGAGTAAGGGTAGATGTTGGCGGACGTGTTACTGTTGGGCCGGATTCCGTCGGTCATTATGTTAGGCGTGTTTTCTCTCTCTTTTTTTCTGCTAACGCATTGTCTCAGTTGACTCGTGATGCCAAAGTCTTTGGAGGTGAAGTTTTGACGACCACCGACATCTGTGTGCGGTCCGGTGCTGGAGGTATCGGTGATCCTGTCAAAGTTGCAGATGTTACGAGCGAGGTGGTCACACAAGCGAAGGTAGTAATGAAGAAGCTGCTCGAGGTTTGTTCAGAATCACTCCTTCGATGCCGAATCCCGACAAAATGATGCTTTTTTTCTGTTAGAACGTTGTAGACCGGATGAAAACCAGTCCTGAGGACTGCACACTCTTGCTTGTTGGCGGTGGTTCTATCATTGTTCCTCCGGAGCTCAAGGGTGTCAAGGAAGTTATGTATGCCGTTTCGTATGGCTTCCCGTCTTGCTTGAACTTAAATATAAACAGTCTGCCGCCGTTTCATAGTGTGGCGAATGCGGTTGGCGCTGCTATCGCCAATGTCTCGGGAACCGTCGACACTATCGAAGTATTGCAAGGCCAGAAACTTCCTGAAGTATTGGAGCGTATCAAAACGCTCGCCATCACAAAGGCTGTCGCAGCCGGAGGCGAACCCTCCAGTGTTTCCATCGCCGAGATTGACATTCTTCCTGTCCAGGTTTGACCGTTATTCATTCGTGTTCGCAATCTCATTTGGGCGAAGTATGTGACTAACCAGGCCACGCGAATCATCGTCAGAGCTGTTGGGGAGCTCGGGATTCCCAATGAGTCTTTGATTCCGACATCGGACCTTTCATATCATGTCGATGTAGAGGAAGAGCCAGAATCAAAGCAACAGATTATTCTGGATGGCAGCGATGGCGCGACAGGGATCGATTACCAGTCGTATAGGCCCAAGATTTTGGGTAATGAATGGATTTTGAGCGAAACTGATTTGTGTGAGTATTTGATTCGGTGATGTCCCACCTTTCTCACTTTTGCTTCGTCAGTCTTCATCCAGGAAGGATGCGGCGTTCTCGGGACTGTTCGTAATTACTGCCCATGTTTTACAGGCTGAAACTGAAACTACTTACAGGGCGGAGGCGGGAATCCGTATCCGACGTATTTAAAGACAAGACAAATGTTACGCGAAGGCAAAGTTCTGCGGATCGTCGATCATCTTTCGCTAGCAGATGACGCGGCCCTTGTCCGTGGGGGTATGTGTTTCTGTCGCCAGTCTAACATCCATCCTTACCTGCACACAGGCTACATGGGCTCCCCTTCAGTCGGCTCTGAACGCCTGATGGCAGGTGCCGCTATTGTGGAGGCTGGTACAGAACTAGCAAAGTACTGTGGAGTAACCAGTTATGCCGCGACATTGTGGTACGTTAAGAGCGGACTCGAATGACCATTTGCTAATAGCATTCAAGCGATGAAATCGGAGGTAGCAATGGCATGCAATCGTTGGTCATGTCTGGTTTGTATGGAATACCAGCCTTCGACGGTGATCTCATGGGCCGTGGTAGGTTTCTCGACTTGTATGGACGCAGCAAACTAATATGAATATCCCAGCATATCCTAAGCTCAACCAGGTTCTTCCAGGTCCGCATTTTCTTGTCCAACTTTCCTAAAATCTGAAATTTTGTAAAGCTGTGTATGACCGACCAAATGCGTATGTTTTCTGGCACATCCCGTTCAAAACCTAACATTGCATTGAAAAGGCTCATCCCTTCTGCTTTGTGTGATGGTGATAACAATGTCATTGTGAGTGTTACAAATAAGGTATCAGTCTTGCGCTAACATGGCATCCAGCTCCTCACCAAAGTGAAGAATGAACATCTGGTTGAAACCCTGATGCGCACGGTAACCACTGAAATGGGGTCTGCGGCGGCCCTGTGCTGTTCTCCACTAGCCGTCAGTGACGCCAGAGATTATGGCGTACCCCGGACGCAAAGTCAGGCGTGGAGAATAGGCAGAGCTATCTCCATCTGTCGGCAAACCAAGTAAGGTGTTGTATCGAGTGTTGACCGTGACTAAAAGTCCGCTTAGCAACATGAAAGGTATTCCTGACGCAATCTTGCAACTGCAAAACGGTGTCTGTCTCTTCATCGGCAAGATAGTCAGCTGTTCGCGGGCAAGTTCCAGCTCAAAACGAAGAACACAACTAACCGTGTGAAACAGGAAGTAAGAGCAGGTTTCACATGGGGGGAGATCCGAATTTCTCAGCTGCTTGACGAGGAGCTCGAGGACCCTGCCGCAGCTGTCGCGGGCAATCCTGGTGACCATATGATCATTCCATTTCAGAATGAGAATTTGGCTGCATATGTTGAGCGAGATGGCTCTAGAGAGGTATGTTTTATTGTATCAGGCGATATTTTCCGCCGATGATCGTGAATATGTGTAGCTAGTGGCCACCGTCCCTGACTTGATATCGGTTCTGGATTCCCAGAGTGGATCCAACCTTGGATCCCAAGATTGTGAGTTTGCACTGGCGCAATTCTACACATCTGACAGTTCTTTCGTACCATAGACAGCTATGGCCTTCGGGTCACCGGTATTCTGCGTCCACTCCAACATTTCGTCCATCTAATTAATTTATGCAGTGATTGCGATGGCGGGATCTCCCCTTTGGAACTCAGAGGCAGGTCTACGAAGCGGCGGCCCTGCTGCATTCGGGTAAACGAAATCGGTCCGGATTCAGGCAGGATGACTAACTCTCTTCGCCAGCTTTGACCATAAATTCGTTCCTGTAGGGGAATACATTACACCGCGCTCAGTGATTGAGGAGTACAGGTGATGAGAATTAAAATTTTGGATTCCAGTTAACAAGATGCCACCGAGAGTACATCGATTTCACATAGGTCTAGAGCGGTCAATACCTACACCACGAACCGAATGAACATTGAGAAGGACAAATAATGCATGAAAGAAAAAGAACAAAATAAGATCCGGAAAAACAAAATCAAATGCGCCGGCCGGGAGTCGAACCCGGAGCTAGGCCAGATCTACCAGATTTTGTGGGAAGACCCAATGTTACCGCTACACCACCGGCGCCATGAAGGGGGTTGAATCAAATGATATACAGGTATTAGGGAATGCAAAACCAAATGATCAGCAAAAGCTTTTGATTGATTTGGTTCCAGCTCGCCCGGCCATCTTCATGCACTTGCTCCATCTTGGTCGCTGGACCACGGCTCGAGGTTTTGCTACGACGGTTGGCGCTGGCCCGCGCGTCCCTCAGACTGTCATCGAAAAGGTCGTTCAAAAGTATGCCGTTGGGCTCCCTGCGGGCAAGGTGGTCAAGGCGGGGGACTATGTCATGATACGCCCCGAGCATGTTATGACCCACGACAATACTGGCCCCGTCATATCCAAGTGTGTTCTGGTGTATTTTGTGCTTGGACGTTCTCACAAATTTCATCTCCAGGTTCAAGTCGATTGGCGCCACTCGAGTCCAGAACCCCATACAACCGGTATTCACCCTCGACCACGACGTGCAAAACCGGTCCGCGAAGAACTTGTCGAAATACGCCTCGATTGAGGAATTCGCCCGGCAACATAAAATAGACTTTTATCCTGCGGGCCGCGGAATCGGACACCAGGTGCTGGTCGAGGAGGGCTACGCGTTTCCGCACACCCTCACCGTCGCAAGCGACAGTCATAGCAACATGTATGGCGGTGTGGGATGTGTGGGGACACCTATTGTCCGCACCGACGCGGCGGCTCTCTGGGCGACAGGCAAAACATGGTGGCAAGTTCCACGCATGGTCAAAGTCGAATTGAGAGGAAAACTCGCTCCCGGTGTCACAGGCAAGGATGTCATTGTTGCATTGTGTAGTTCCTTCAACAACGACGAGGTTCTCAATGCTGCTCTGGAATTCACGGGTGACGGAGTGGCGACGTTGTCGGTCGACGAGCGGCTGACGATAGCCAACATGACTACAGAGTGGGGGGCCCTGGTCGGCGTATTTCCGGTGGACGAAACACTACTTGAGTGGTACGATCGGGTTTTGGCCAAACTCGAGCTTCGCACATTTTCATCACCGGAATTGGCGTCCTTGATTCCAGCTCCACCAGAGCATCCTCGTATTCATCGCCGCCGCCTCGATGCCCTCCGTTCTACTAATTTACAGTCGGATCCTGATGCCGCATACTCATCACACCTGATATTCGACCTCTCAACTCTTGTTCCCCATGTTTCTGGCCCCAATAGCGTCAAAATATCGACACCTCTTCCCACTCTGGAAGAGTCGCGCGTTGCGATCCAGAAAGCTTACCTTGTAAGCTGCACCAACTCTAGAGTTTCCGACATTGCGGCAACTGCAGCTGTAATGCGGGGAAACAAGGTTGCACCTGGCGTCGAGTTTTACATTGCCGCTGCCAGTTCAGCCGTTCAGCTGGAGTCCGAGAGACTGGGGGACTGGGACGCGTTAATTCGGTCCGGGGCCAAAGTCCTTCCTGCTGGGTGCGGTCCATGTATCGGGCTGGGGACTGGATTGCTAGAAGAAGGTCAAACAGGCATCAGCGCCACAAACCGCAACTATAAAGGACGGATGGGTCACCCAAAGGCTTTAGCCTACCTTGCGAGTCCGGCTGTTGTTGCCGCGAGTGCCATAAAAGGGTACATTTGCGGTCCAGCCTCTGTCGATCCTTCGTTGCTGCCGCCTGTCAATGCGCCCACATTCTCCATCTCAAACCAACCCTCCACAACCACCCTCCCCGCTTCCCAAGCGAACGATCCCGTTCTCCCCGGCTTCCCTGAATCGTTCGCTGGCCCACTACTATTCGCACCACAAGACAACCTCAACACGGACGCCATATATCCAGGAAAATACACGTACCAGGATGATATTACCCTTCAGCGACAGGCTGAAGTTGTTATGGAGAACTACGACCCAAGCTTTGCAGCGCTCGTAGTCTCATTGTCTCGGAAATCGGCGCCCTCTTTGAGCACAACCGAGGCTGCGAAAGGCATAATATTGGTGTCGGGTTATAACTTCGGCACTGGGTCTTCGCGGGAACAGGCCGCGACAGCCCTGAAGGCGGCGGGGATACCAGTGGTGATCGCAGGGTCGTTTGGCGATATATTCAAGCGAAACGCGATAAATAACGGGCTGGTATGCTTGGAGTGTCCCGAGCTTGTGGCGGATTTAACACAGGACTACGCAAAGGCTGGCACGAGGGGCGCTGGGGGGTTACATGGCGAGTTGACTGTGGATCGCGGGCTTAGTGTCGTCGTGGGGATGGTGGACGGCCGTGTGGTACTGACGATAGACGGGGGTGTCGCAGGCTTGACCGAGAAGGTCTACAACGTCAAACCCGTGGGTGCAAGCGTACAAGAGTTGTGGGTGTGCGGTGGGCTAGAAGGCTTCATTTTGAAGGAGATTAAAGCCGCAGAGGCGCATACAGCCGTCTGAGTAAGCGCGGCGCAAAAGTATTAAATGTTTTCGTAGTGCTTTCAATGTATCAAATAGGACCTTGCACTTTCTTTTCTGACCCCCGGTTGGCGATATTTGTGGAGTTTGTTATTAAGTTACGCCCCCATGCTTCCGGACTCTCAAGTAAATTACATAGGTAGATTTACATAGGCTTTGCTTAAAGCAAAATTGTTTACAGTACATGAGGAGGAGATATAAGTAAATGATAATGGTACAGATGAGTGTCCGAAGCTGAAGAAAAAGGACATGATTAAAGGGCAAGGTCCCAGACACTTCGGTCCGCTACTTCAGATCCAGAGGCATTGGGAGCGAATTTTTCACGCAGAACGGCGAGCTTAGAACGATACTCGTCGACACCGATGTATGCTCCGCACATGCGGCGTTTGCCTGTAAAGGCGGAGCGACCGTGCAAAACGCGGTGGTTGTCAATGACTGTCGACGATGAAAACTAATCAGATGGCGAAGTAGAAGAAAATAAGGTATACGCACTAACGGCCGTTCCGGGACCCAGCTGTACCCAGTATTCCGAGTCCGCGCTCGTGAGGAGTTTGTTCCACGTTCGGATGGCATTATACCATTCCTCAACTTGATAAGGATCCAGATTGTTCATGACGCTTCGGTCATCGTTGTTCCAGCGCACTTGGGTGAGTTCTCCAGTCACCGGATCATGGCCGAGTACGGGATATCCGGAAGTAGGGGAAGGCTGGTAGAGAGCGGAGGATTCACCGGCGGCATGAGCAGGGATAGGCGTCCGGGCCAGGAGGGAATATGCATCAGGGTGCAGCTCCTTCAGTATAGAGGCAACATAGAAACCGTCAACTAGTAGCGTGGAGCCGCCAGAACCATCGGTGTGTGAAAGCAGATGAAATAGTTGGAGGCCGCAAGGGTCAGTCTGCGGAACGGATGGTCAACTTCAAATACACAATATGTAGGAGGCAACGTACGAAATAAGTGTTATCCGTGTGTGCACCGAGGGCGAGCGTGGTATATGCCGTGTCGCCCTTTGCTAGATCAGAAGTAAAGTCCCAAAATTTACCGTCTGTAACATTAGGCGTCAGAATGAGTGCCAAATGAGAAAGAAACGCAATAATGACATTGAGTTTCGCGTATAAAACCAATGCGTCGAGAGAGTTCCTCGGTGGCTTCCGGCGTCGGTGGGACACTAGATATGAAGCACATTCCAAAATGGTCCTGACAAAAAATTGAAGCTTGATCAAGGCCAAAATGTTGGCTGCACTCACAACATGAGATAGCCATTTATAAAGTCCGCGATCATCCTCTGCCATTGCCTCCTGGTAGGTTATCGTAGGGGGTGATGTTTGAATTTTCGAACTCCACATAATTTTTCTAGAACCGATAAGCACAAATGGTGAGGTCAAACGAAGATCACACGCTCACTCCAATTGAGTCTCTCTTCGCCGGAGAGGAGGGTCATATGAATTTCTCTGAAGCCACGACCACGGATAAATGGATACGTGTGGTTTCGAAGAAGGCCCTAGGATATGGTTAAAGGCAAACAAAGCCAGCGGCAACATAGCATACATGAAACTTGAAGGCCGTCCGCCGTTGGCTCGACTTGGCTCGGCGTAATATCCGGAGGAATCTAGTGGAATTGTTGGGCATGCTGAACGCGGAGATCATAAAGTCAATGCAAACCTCGAAAGTGTTGATCAATCTCTGTTTTGTTATCGCGTGGAAGCATTCTGGACAACGACAATGATCCCGGAGCCATATATTGTGACTTTTAAAACCGTCAGCCAAAATGAAAATGGCAGAAGGCTGGATTACACACAAGCGAGACCAAGTTCGTGTATCCCAACCCACTGCAACTTTGCGGCCATCCATGCTTATCATGGGAAGGTCATCGGAGACCACTTCCGAGACTGACCGAGAAACCAGCGGCGGCGGGTGGGCATTGACTGCAGCAGCAGATGCAGATGCGCGTGCCAATTGGGTAGCCAGTCCACGGTGGGAGTTGGCCATCCACTGTGTGGCCATGTTAAAAGTCGAGAGAGGATGTAAAATATGGTGGGAGAACATACGAGGATATTTCTCGAGGACGGAGACCTGTTGGCGAGCATGCCAGGGGCTCTTACTCGAGCTGGCCAAGATATCCACATCGCAATCGATGCTCAGCGCCGAAGCCGAGTCGACGCGGTGAGATGCAAAAATTGCCGGTGATCGATGACAAATCATCGATGACATGTTATTGATGTCAACAAGAGAACATCCTTGATGATCCTTCCGCCTTTTAGCGAGAAAATAGAGCACGGTACCAGAGGGTACCAGCGAATCCACCTCCTGGAATTATGACAGGTATAAAAGTTACATAGAATAATGGAAGGATAAAAAAACTTCGTCACGAAGAACCACGCCTCTATCTCCTCCTCTTCTCCCCGAATGAGAACCCCCAACATGCTTTAGGAACTTCAGCGTCGTCAAAGTTGCTCATTCTCCGTGGCTGCACTGGGGGAGAGGTTGGAATAGATGCCTCAGACTTGGATGATCCCCGCCGTCGCGGCTGGCGTCGGAAAGCAGAAGCCGGTTCAATGACAACTGCGTCCAACGACTTGGCGATAGACACTTTCGCACACAGGACTTCCTCCTGAAACTCGT